TCCCAGGATATCTAGTCAGGCTGACCACATTATACCATTACCCATTTACATAATTTTTCATTCTCTTTTTCCTCAGTCAGCATCATTAATCCACATACAAACAAGCAAAACAGTAATTTATGCCAAACAGACAACATAGAGTATCAATATTCCAGTCATTCAACCCATAATCAATAAAACAGTAAAATATGCACACGAAACTATAAAATGAAAACATCAAACCTCATACTGCATTTAAAACTGTAAAACAGGCCAAATAACAGTTAACCGACAAACACACTAGACTCGGGCTCCATTAGCGACCTTAAGCAATTTCACACATTCGTTGATTCATGAAATACCGTTTTATCATTTATTGAACTTTAAAACCGTGATAGGAAATAGAGTGAGGGGTCTTTACACGTTTCGGGGTCTGAACACGGCTTCACAGTGCGCTTGCAGGCTGTCCATAATTTTTCCTGAATTTTTCCCGGGGAACTGAAACGCACTACTGGTACCTGCACGTGTTCCAAAAAATCCCAAATTAGGCCCAGGGCCCCTTTCGGCCAATATCGCAACTCTGGCACGGCGGCTCCGCCGTGCTCCGGCGACGGCGCCGCCGCTTGCGGCGGCAGTTCGCCTCGGGTTGGCCGTTTTCGGTCGTTTCCGGTCGAATTCGACCACACTCGCATTGGTTCCTGCGATAAAACAACACAACGGCCCTCGGGGGGCCGAAAATTTACGTAAAACCGAAGCTTACCGGCGGCGGTGCTCTCAGGTGCGGCGGCTCTCCGGTGAAGTTCGTGTTTTGGTGATTCGGTTCAGATCAACCTGTAGAGAAAAGAATGGTGATCACGGTGATATAAAAATTGCATTAAACGGAGGCCGGGAAGGGCCTCATCGGAGGCAAAAACCGAGAAGGGGCACGGCGGCGCCGCTGGCTTTCGGCCGTGTTTTCCGGCCGTTTGGCCGGGATTTTGGCTCCGATTTGGCCACTAGGGAAATCAGCGTGGAAAAAACGAATCGGGGGTATGAAATTTACCTCGATCGGCGGTCGGAAATCCCTCCGGTGCGGCGGCGGGTGGCGGCGGCCGGCTTCTGGTTCGTCTTCTCCGGCGAGCGGCAGGCGGCTAGGGTTTGTGGTCTGGTGTGGGGGTTCTATTTATAACCCTTTGCCTTTTGATCTCAGCCCTCCATTTTGTTTTAATCTAGGCCGTCCGTTTTTTATTAAATCTGGGCCGTCCGATCGCGCCTACACGGATCGCCAACGTGGCCCGTTTCGGAACGACGTGGTCTTGGCACGTGGCAGGTCCCGGTTGGCCGGGACTGCTGACCGGGCCTGCTGACGTGGCTGCCGACGTGGCTTTTTTTTTTTTTTTTTCGGCCTCTTTCCAGGCGCTACAACTAATCTGTCTTGACCCAAGAATTAGTAACCTGACACAAGAATCTGAATAATTTAATTTTTTTAAAAAAAAAAACCTAAAACCAAAACCTGATTATTATTATTATTATTATTATTATTATTATTAAGAAGTTAAATCCGAGTTATTTATATTAAAAAACAAAAACCGGAACGGAACCGAGGTATTCCGTCCGGTCCAACGGCTTCTCAATCTCTTTATCAAACCTATTCCGCTTAGGCACAGAGCCAGAGACAATTGACAGAGGAAGTTACTTGCGCAGGAAGTAGGACTACTCGCGCACCACAGATCGACATTGCAGCAGCTTAGTGCAGATCATAGGCCGTTGCTACCAAGACAAGTGTTGGGACAGGCATTGCAGTAGGCAAGGGCCATCTGCGCGCGGCTGCTGTTGCAAGGCGGGAGCAGAGAAGAGAGGGAGCAGTTGCAGATCAATGCAACAGTGGACGCCTATAAAACGGTCCCTGATTTTGAGTTTGAGGTGAGGGTGGAGAGGTAGAAGAAAGGAAGAAAAAAAGGAAGGGGTTTCGGTCTAAGACTGAGAGAGAAAAAGGAGTTTTGAGAGATTGAAATAACAGAGATGAAGAGGAGAGCAGAGTCGGGATTTGGGGAAGGGAGAGGGGCAAGAGGAAGACTCTAGGGTTTCGAGAGTGGAGACGGGGCCATTTGAAGGAAGAAAGAGAAGAGAGGGGAGAGAGTAGGGGAACGGTTTTGAAAAAAGAAGAGGAAAAAAGAGGGGAAACAGAGCAG